CGAACAGACTATCACTCGCATCGCAGCCTACCAGCATCAGCTCATCTCCAGCTACAACAAAAGGGCCAAGATCCGGCAGTTCCAGCCTGGAGATCTGGTCATAAGAAAAACCTTCATCACTGCCAGCAGAAAAGGCTCCAAAAATATGGATCCCATTTGGGAAAGTCCGTACAAGATCAGCAGAGTAGGTGGCAAGAACAATTACACCCTCGCCACCATAAAACGACAAAAAGATCGAAAAACAATGGAATGCCTACAATCTGAGGAAGTACCATGTGTGACCTTTCGCTACATCAAAGCCCGAAGACTCAAGCAGCTCGACGGGCACTACCTCACCAGTCGAGGATTATCCAGTTGTTATGCAGTTTTTACCTTACATCTAAGTTCTCGTTCGTTTAACTCGTTTTTCAATGAGGAATTCAGAAGTAATCACGACTTAGCTTGGCTGCATGCTTACAACAACTGATCACTCTTGCACTTCAAAAGAAGACCGCGCCATTCTTAGGGACTTACCGCATGAATTGTGCCCCCCGAGGGACCAACCATGCTCTCCAGTGCGAAAGGGTAAACTAATTACTCTCCAACGCGAGAGGGTAAACCAATTCCCCGACACCTACATGGGTCAGCTCTCCAAGAACGGGAGGATAAACTCTACACTCCGAATATCCAGACGTGGATGAGCTGGATTGCCCTAGTATAACTAGATGCACGATGGCTTGCGCCAGGATTCCTAGAAGTAGCCGCAATGGTCTTTTTCAAAGTTTAGCTAACTGAAGGATTTTAGGTCTCTTGGCCTAATTCGTGGGGAACCGGGCCCTAGAGACGGAGAGGGCACATTACGCAGTACATCCGATAGAAGGCTGCCCTGGAATCCTAAAGCTGCTACCGAGTGCACTAAGGTAGCTTACGGATTTCGGAAGACTGCCTACGGCTTGCCCTTCGAGCAGTAAAGCTGCACTAGACTTATACAACCGCACATTCTTATGAAAGGTTAAACAAGCTAGCACGCATATACGAAGTTTTATCCACTGCCGACATGACGTAGTCGATAAGCTTCACCTCTGCCAAGCGCGGAACAATCTACACCAAGTCCTAAAGTGTTGTGATACTTGCTACGCAACCTATGGAATTGGAGAAAGTCAAGGTTAACAGCCTAGTGGTTACGTGGACTTGTTTGCTTCTGTAAGTAAGGCATCCGGCTGCCAACCCAATGGCTAACAACTTTGCAAAGTTCTACACCAACACCTACGGCTGCATAGGCTACGCGAGCTTGTCTGCTTATAAAAAAGTAGCATGCTTGCCACTGGTCTATCAAGTCTAAAGGTTAGGGCATGAACAAAAGAAGCAAAAATGAAGAAAAGCTGAGGAAAACATGTTTATAAACAACTAGCAAAGGCCGAAGGAGTTCAAGCAAAACAAGAGCTACAAGGAAAAACAAAGAAAATCTTAAAGGCTACCTAGATGACTACACTTTAGCAGCCTGGACATCCCACGACTATTCGGTCGCCACACTTTCAGCAGTCGCGAAGCTCTTAGCAGCAGCATCACCCCCGACTGCTCCAGCCTGGGCACCAACTTCTCCAACTACTTCACCAATACCAACATGGACGCGCTGCAGCTCATCCACTTCTTTCTTCAAACTTTTGTTGATCTTCAATACACCTTGAAGTTCCAACACTTGGGGTTCAAGCCTATCGACGATTCTCTTGAAGTGGATCACTTGATTATAAGCAGTAATCAACTTTTCATCATTTGCATAAGCAGCGAAAGAAGTCTTTGGTTTTTTCTCAACCAGCATCTCTTGAGCAGGCAGAGAAGATCCCTTTTCCCACATTCACTTGCAGCAGGATCCACAACGGTGATTGGACGAACCAATGCATTCGCCTTGATCTTATTCACCTCTTATTTTGGGAGCAACCCACGTTTCTCCTGACGAAGAGAGTTAAAGTAGCCAACGCCATTCGTGGTACCCAGCATGGGAGTTCAACCCAACATTCCAGCAGCCCATGAGACCCACAATCTCCTCATTTCTCTCAATCACTAGCCTGGTCCGAGTCAGGTCCAAGAGCCCAAAGGACATGAGCCATACGACTCGCTTAGCACTGCGCCCCAACGCCACAATCCGCGACCCTAGCCGCACAAGCTGCCCTTGGCTCAAGCCAAGCCAAGCTGCCCAAGCAGTGGTCCCTGCCACGACATCTCATCGGCCCATGCCGAGCTAACTCCTGGCCCCTGCCAGCCGACGTGCCGCACCACCCCGACGGCTGCCCTGCAATAGCACTATCCAAAAAGAAGGCAAGAAAAATTAATTTTTTTTTACATCGGTGCGGCACGGAGAAGACGAAGAAATCAACGAAAGACGGTTCTTTGCACGGGCAAGATGTAGAAGATTGCTAAAGGAGGGGGAACAAATATCCTCTAACTTTCTCTCTCTTGTTGGGTAGAATAAATCGCTCTCCAAAGTTGATTTAATAACCCACTTAAGGTGGACTTAAATAGGCTTTGAGAGAAATTTATTTCCCTTTTCTAGAAGGATCTAATTTCCAATTAAAGAGAGAATTTACATCAAAATAGGAAGCAATCCTATGTTTCCTAAAGCAAGAAGATCTCTACATCTGCTGCCATTTCCTGCGAGCAGCCCAACATGTGTGGGGGGCATTTGTGGAGCCAAAAATAATCACAAGGCGACACGTGGATTTTTGGGTAAAAAGAACAAAAATACCCTTGAGGCGTACCAAGTTTCTACGCGCGAGCAGTAGACAATCATCCTCAACCAAGTTAAAAATGCTCCAAAAAAAAGGTAACCAATTCCAAATTATCTCATACATCCTCATTTTAGGTAATTACTTCATAACCTATAAATTGTTCCATATAAATAGAGATTAATTGGCTAATTAATGAATTAATTCCTAAATTCATTAATCAACCAATTAAATCACCAATCACACCCAAAAATACCTCTTTTGGCCGGTTACCCACTCCCCCAAAGGAACCGGCCATCTCCTTTTATTTCCTACCTTTTCTACCATATCTTTTCCTTTTATGATAATAATTAGCTAAGATAAATAGGGAATTATTAGCTAATTATTTCATAAAATCCCAATTACCACCAAATATCCCCAAATATGCACTAAATGGCCGGCCATCTATTGCTAGAAAAGGAATTGGCCATACTTTGCTTATTCATCCCATTAGTTAGCTAATTCATTTGGTAATAATCCTATTTTGCCAAATTAATTAGTCAATTAATCACATAACTCCCAAAATCATATTAAATCAAGAACCCTAGCCCTATAAATAGGCTCTCATTTTCACCAAACACTCATTCCAATTCTCTTACAAAAAATCACAAATACTCTAAACACTATTTCTCTCTAAAATTCTAACTTTGGCATCGGAGGTTCTTCGGTCAAAGCCCCCCTATTCATCGTGGGCGCGTGAGGCTTTTGGCCTTAACCTAAGGTGCTAGTTGTTTTGTAGGTGCAAAATCGTCCAAGATCGAGGAGGAGAAAATTTGCATCCACATCATCTTCATTTTATTTTATTTTTTCTTTTCAATAAGAAGATCAGCTGGTAACTTCGTCAAGATAGTTCATATTTCTGAAATCCGAAAAAATTTACAAAGATATTTTTCGTCCCAATTTAATTAGGGGTCTATTTATGAATCTATGACTAAGCTCATGCAAGCATTTGTGATTGGCACAAGACAAAGTCACAAAACACCCTAGCGCCAAACTACCCTATCTACCCAGGGACACTACAGCCACTTCATTGCGTACACGTGTGCCACTAATCCATAACTCAAATGATTAGTGTATGAAAAAACATTAAATATGTTAATGGATTAAAGAAAAAAATTGGGATATGCTAAGAACCTTCTTGCTTTAACTTTTTTGTTTTACCTTCATGGCTTTCCTTTTAATTCTACCACGTTACTTCATGATTTGAACCGTTTAAATTCTATATCACACTTTAAAGATCAACTTTTAAAAAAAAAAAAAAAAAAAAAAAGAAGAAGAAATCGTTTAACCATTCAATTAGCCTTGACAAAATTTTAGTGTTTAAGTGAGAAATATGATTCGTCTATCTAGTGTACAACTGTTAAATGACTAAAGAATTTTAGAGTTAGCTAATTTTTTTGGTAGGAATGATATTTAAAAAATGACCTAAATAATAGACAGTTCAAATTATCATTTCACATTGTAGGATGAGAGGGATAACCGAGAAGATAAAATGAGAAGGTTACTATCATTCCCAAAGAAAATAATATTCATCAAGGATTCATCGCAAAAAAAAGATATCAATCTTTTAAGCACTTTTCTTAATTAAACGACACTTACTTAAAAAAAAATTATACATTATTTTTTTGATATTAGATGTACTCCCTAAATTATGAATGCAAATGCAATTCTATCTTGATATAAAAAAGATGGTGTCTCACACAACAATGTACGGTATTAATCATATGAACAAGTTGGACTTTTACTACCTTGGCTTGAACTACAAGTCATCCTCTCTAAAAATTTAGTCCGGTGAAAGTTGATGCTTGGACATGAGTCACATGATGATAAGCCACTTTATCTTATTCTCCAAATTCTAACATTGGATAATCAATTATTTTATTACAAATTAAAGACTAAAGAATTTGGAAAATGAAAAATAAAATAAGTTAAAAAATTGGGTAAGATAGCTGATAACAGACAGCAGACTTGTTCTGATGGGAAAATTTTTAGTTGTGCCGAAAATAAGGATGATACATCACGTGTTTTTATGCAAGTAGTGAAAATTTTTAATTTTTAAGTTATTAACCTTTTAACACACATAATTCACCATTTATATAGGAGCACATGATGTACTATTTCGTGTAACGAAAACATTGAAAAATCTCTCGTTCTAATGAGTCTCATCATCATCAGCCACCTTTTACTTTGTCTGTTTCACAACTGATCCTGTTGTCTCTACAGTTGGAAGCCCCCAATTCTCCTCTGTGTGTGTGAGTCTCTCTCTCTCTCTCTCTCTCTCTCTCTCCTTCCAGACTGAACCTAGTCTCTACAGTTGGAAGCCCCAAATTCTCCCCTCTCTCTCTCTCTCTCTCTCTTCCCTTCCAAACTGAACCTCTCGTCTCTACAGTTGGAAGCCCCCAATTTTCCTCTCCTCTCTCTCTCTCTCTCTCTCTCTCTCTCTCTCTCTCTCCCCCTCCCTTTCCATTTGTGAGCTTTTCTGCTTGGTGGGGTTTGCAGCATCGGTTAAAGACTCAAACTTTGGCTCTCTCTCTTTCTCTCCCTCTCTCCCCCTCTCTCTCTCCTTCCATTTGTGAGCTTTTCTGCTTGGTGGGTTCTGCAGCATCAGTTAAAGACAAACTTTGGTTCTCTCTCTCTCTCTCTCTCCCTCCCCTTCCATTTGTTAGCTTTTCTGTTTGGTGGGTTCTGCAGCATCAGTTAAAGACTCAAACTTTGGCTGCTGAAGTTTGTTTCTTGAACTTTGTTTTGCTGAATTTTACATGGATTTATTGCATAATTTCTGTTTTTGTCTTACATTTGCTGTTTTCTGCTCTGAATTTGATATTTAATTATCAGTTAATTGACCAATTGAACATGATTAAAGAAGTTAGAATAGAGTTAGGGTTGGACAAATTGTTGCTTTTAGGCCAGTTTCCACGTTCATTGGTTGCATGATGATGATCATTATCTTCTGGGTGGCTAAAACCCTAAAAGTCAATAGCAGATCTACTTTCTTTCCTTTTTTTCTCTGTTGGGAATTGATATTTTGGAAATTTAGTGGATTTCACTTCAACTTTTGACTACTTATCAGATTAGGAATTTATCCCTCCCTAAATTTCCATGCAATTGGTTGGCTCAGTTTAGGGTTTTTATTCCCACCTTTAGTTGTCCAATTATGCTCAAGATATAGTTGTAAACATGATTTTCTTGTAATCTGGTACTTCCTGTGGCAAATGCTCCTCATACTTTGATTTTTTTTTTTCTTGCCTTTTGCATGAATCAAGTGATTTTCCATTGTTTTGCAACTGCAAGGGCCACTAATTTGTGATGTTTACCAACAGATGTGTTATGCCATAAGCATATTGCAGCTTGCACAAAGGAGATAAAGAACGGCTGAAGAAGTTTTTCCTGTTAAACATGAAGGCGATTTCACCTTTGCCCCTCAAAGATCAGGGAGATAGACCCAAGTTTTTGATTGAGGTAAATTCTGCAGCTACATTTGGTACTTCTTAACACTTACTCAAAGATCAGAGATAATTGTAGTACGATTTTTCTCTGCGAGTCTCGAAAATGATGAAACTTTTCACCTTTCAGGTTGCAACCAAAGAAAATCGGTTGTGGGGTGTGGTCCATTCCAAAGGACTCTTGAACTCTGAGGTCCAGGACTTGTACTGCGAAGTGCGATCTGGTTATGAGAATCTCATATTGAGTGATCATGAGCAGTTGGAATTTCAAGACATTGAGTATTCTTTGTGGAAGCTACACTACAAGCATATTGACGAGTTTCGCAAAAGACTAAAAGGAAGTTCAGTGAATGCAGAAAGCAAAAATATGGTGGTGCTACGAAATGATATTCATGTAGAAGGGTTTAAACTCTTTCTATCAGAAGCAATTGAATTCTACCAGAATATGATTGGGAAGATAAGTAAACGTAAGAGGCTCCCAGAAGAGTCTGTGATAAATAGAAAGGGAGGCGGCGACCTTACTTTTGCAGAGCACAAAAAGATGCAGAAGTGCCAATTTTTGTGCCATCGCTTTTTGGTGTGTCTCGGGGATCTGGCTAGATACAGAGAACAATATGAAAAGCCTGATGTGCAAACCCGAAATTGGTCAGTTGCGGCCACTCACTACTTGGAAGCGGCAGCAACTTGGTCAGATAGTGGAAACCCCCACAATCAGGTAGATTACTATTTCCTTGAAGATTTTGGTTACAAGACCTAAATTTCTTTACGATATTTGCCTGTGTTATTTAAACAGAACTCAGTTAAAGGTTACATGTGAGTTTGTTTGCAGTTGGCTGTATTGGCAACATATATTGGTGACGAGTTCCTCGCTTTGTACCACTGTATAAGAAGTTTAGCTGTTAAAGAACCTTTCCCTGATGCTCGGGGTAACCTTATCCTACTGTTTGAAAGGGTAAAATCTGACAAATTACAGAAACATCTATTGTTTTTAGTCACTACTGTCATATCCTTCTGATATTCATACTTCAGCAGTTCTCATTTGCTTTTTACGATCTTGCAGAGCAGGTCATCTCATGTATATTCTCCTTCAAGCGAGGCCCACTTTAATTTCTTAAACCCGTCTGAAAGAACCAGTGTTCAGACTACTTCACAGTCGAGCGATGATACAAAGTTATGGTCTCTTATTATTGGAATGTTAAGTTTCTTTCACATTAAATCAAGGTACTCACTTAACCACTATGGAGTGTTGCTACATGTAACTGTTGAATTTGGATGGTGCATCTTTGGTTGAGTTGTGATTGTCCTCATTTTGTTGTTACAATGTCATTGTGTAATCGCTTGTCTTTTCATTTAATTCTATTCGGTTTCGCAATCCATAGCAGCTAAGATTGTAAAACCGAATATATCTTTAACTTGAGCTTACGTTGTTACTTAGGTTGTTAACTTGCTTCACATTGCTTGAGCAATGTGATGTTTCGACGAAGATTGTAATCAAGGCCGTTTAATGTTGAATCATTGGAACTACTTGCCTTTGATCTATATGCTTGTGTTTCCAATTCTTTATTTACATATGAAATTCTTTGTTGCTTGTGTTCTGACTTTCTCTATGGAATTTTGTATGTGGGCAGTGTGGATGAATTCCCCTGTGCTTTTGCGTACTATGAGAGAGTTCGATGCACTGATGGCACTAGATGATACAGAGCTAAAAGCTGCATTGGAGCCATATCAGCGTATGGATTCAGTTAGAAGAGGCCCTTTTCGAGCACTCCAAGTTGTTTCTGTACTAGTCTTTACCGTACAGAATCTATTCAAGACCCCGGAAATAAAAGGATCAACTGACAAAATCGATATCCAGCAGAAAGAGCTGAGACAATTGGCACTGACTGCAGCATTCATTTTCATGGGGCGGTTCGTTGAAAGATGTTCAGAGGCTGGTGCAGTAGAGACTTGCCCCCTTCTACCAGCTGTGCTTTTTTTTGTGGAGTGGCTAGTCGTCGTGCTTGATGAAGCAGAAATGTATGGGGTCGATGAAAAATGCAGAAGTGCGATGTCTTACTTTTTTGGTGCATTCATTGATCTTCTGAAGCAATTCAACCTCAACGAGGATGAGGCCAAGTATCCAGAAGGTACTCCTCTGTGGGAAGACTATGAGCTGAGGGGATTTGCACCGGTAGTTTGTGTTCATGCATCACTAGATTTCTCATATCATCCGGAACATATTGACAATTATGACAGCGGAATTGATTGTCGTGCTCAGAGAATCATCAAGGCTGCAATTAAAATTGCAGACAGATCAACAGGTTCTCAAAAGTGGATTGTCTATGACAAATCTCGAAGAAAATTTTCCAAAGTCTATATGGCAGAGTCAAATGAGTATGCAGACGGGAAAGAACTAGGAGGATTCGAGTCCAACAATCCTGATGGTAAACTGAAAATGCCTAGTCTTCATATCCACGAACCGCTGAAAGAATGCAAGAAACAGATGATTGCTGGGGAAAATCTGAGTTCTAACGGACATTCTGTTGATGCGGAAGAGGAAGAGGTTATTCTCTTCAGGCCTCTTACAAGACACAACTCAGCACCACTCAAGATTTCCTCTACTTTAAAGGATCCATACCCTACGAAAGATATGGCGGATCAAAGTGTACCTTCTGATGAGTGCTTGCGCCGTGCCACATCACTTCTTATAGCGCAAAACCAGGCCAAGACTGATCCCTTATCTTTTCATGCTGATATCACTAATTTTCGGCGCAACGTGCCATTTAAACAGCAGGAGCCTTCTGTGAAGGAACAGCCATTTTTGGAAACTCCAATCATAGCCGGGCCTCCCTCTCTTAATGCTTGGGTCCTGGACGGAGGAAATTTGAACAGTAATAAGGAGAAAAGCACAAGCAAAATAAGTAAACGTGGCTCGAGCTTGAGCCCCATTGAGGAAATAGCTTCGGAATATCTGGATGTTCTGTCCATCAATGAAAATGAATATTCTCTCGGTAGTCACGAAATTTCGAGCACTCATTCCTCTTCCTCTACTTATACAACTCCTGTGCCTTCTGCTCCTCTATTGCCAGATGATGCTGTTTGGTTTGATGGTGGAACCGAATCTAGTTTCAGCGACTGCAAAAGCTCCGCGGGGATCAGCATGACAGATAATCTCTGTGACGCTAACGCAACATATTCACAGGCAGGCAGCTATGCAAACTGGACTGCAACTCAAGCGCTACCTGATTATAGTTCCAGCATTCTAAATTTCATGGATAAGTACCCGCCTTGGCATCGAATGACTTCATCAGAATGGCTCCGTCAGTACAGAGAGAGTCTCAACCTTGGCCACCATGCATGGCCAAATTCTCTGTATCCGCCCAGTAACCGCGGAAACTTATACGATTATGATGCTTCCAGGTTAAATCATTTCAACCGATGGGGACATCACGCGGCGTCTAATCCGCCAATGCAGATGAACAACCTGCCATCGAATCCGCCTTTTCCTGGCTACCAAAGACCAATCCCCTACGGGTGTGGCGCTGTGACGGATGTAAGAAACGAGCAGCAGCCGCTTCTGCAGTACCTTAAGGAGAAAGAAACTAAACTGCAGCATGATCCTGCTGCCAGAGGTCCTAGTTATATGGACGATTGAGAGATTTTAACACGTAAAAGTTGATACGATAGTCTTGAAATATCCATGTCTGCATTTTTGTATATACGTAAGCAGATGAAACTGTGAAATCCTCCTGCGGTCCACAATGTGATGAAGATTAACTTTTGTATATCTAAAAACTCACCCTTGGTTTTTTTTTTTTTTTTTTTTTTTTTTTTGACAAATAGCGTTAGTGGATTAAATTGTTAAATGCCAAGAGAAAGGAGATAAGAGGGGATCAAATATAGACCAATTTGCATAAGTATTATTATTGCGGTAAAACGTCATTTGTCTCTTAAAATTTTATATATGAGAACTTGGATATCTATCATCTGTCTGGTCTAAAATATCCATAATATCCCGATATTTATATCGAAATTTTCGTGTTTTTGGATTACCGATAATTTTTTGGACTACCTATATTTCCGATATCATCGATATTTTAGACCTTGCTAAGTCACTCATGTATCTTACCATGCAATGTATACAATATAAAATATTGTACTAATTCATTATATATAAATGATTATGGTGTGTTTAAACTTCTTTCATTAATTACTACATATTTTCTACACTCACAATATTTACCAGCTCGTTATATAATTAACTTAAATCAGTTATATCTATCATGCAATGCATTTTCTTCCAATTTTTTGATAAACTTATAGATAATTGACTAAATAAACATCATGCAAAGTTTCAATAAAAATTTCCAAGTTTTTCTTACAATTTCCGTAGTTTTTATTCAATTTTTATCGATATCGATAATATCCCGATATTTCTATCAAAATTTTCGTATTTTTGAATTACTGATATTTCCGACATCATCGATATTTTATACGTACCCTTAAAATTTTCCGGGAAAATACCGTTCAATCCAAGCAGAAATAAAAAAAAAGCTTTCTTCTTTTTCTCCCACCAGTTAAAAGTCACTGCTCCAGCTTTCCCACACCTCCCCTGCACTCAGATCCTCTCAGCTCGCAAGTCGGCAGTCGCAGATCCAAACCCCGCACGATGGCCGAAAGGCAACCAGAACCCGAACCAATATCGTCGGCGAACGCAGTCTTTCTCGGCGCTCTAGCTCCCGGCGTTAACGTACGCACACTTTCCCCCTTCTTTCTGTAGCTTCTGTATTTGCTACGATTACGAACAGTTCTTGCCAAAAATGAAAAGGGGTAATCGAAAGTTTGCTTCTTTTTTTCGGGGGTGATTGGATTTTGCAGGGTCCGACATGGACGACGCTGAGATTTGCGTTTGTGATGCTGGGTGTGTGCCTTTCTGTGATGCTGGGTTTGGCATTCTCTTCCAGTGACTCTTGGTTGGTTTTTCACGTTGCGTTCCTTGTTCTTATCACTGCGACCCTCTTCCTGCTTCTTAGCTGGTAAGTTCATTGAATATGTATCTCGAGTAAATTACCCACAATTTACTTTTTCCTTTTAAGTTTAGCAGTTTGGTAAATCTGGATGTGGGTGAATGAATGTGGTTCCTCTTTTGGTTAATTTTTATGCTTTTTTGGATCAATGCTTTATTTTTTCAGTAATTTGTTGCCTTTATGTTATTGGGTATGTAATGGAATTAGTATGTGTTGTTGATAACTGTTTGTAAGGGTACAACACGGTTTTGTTTGCTGTGATTTGGCTCGAAATCACATTTAGTCACCGTGATTTCGAATTTTACCAATTTCGTCAGCGTATTTAAGTCCAATTGTTAACTTATGTGTATGCTATAGCTCACATTGCAACCTATACTTCCTGTTTGATGAGTTGTGCTGGTGTTTGAACATGTTAAGTTGCTTTGTGAATGCTCCAGAAATGGATTTGTGCTTGCTAATCGGTCAACAAGAGTGGTTAATTTGTCATGTTATTAGATTGCGTTCCTTGATTTTAAGGCATGGTAAGTTGTTGTAATACACGGAGGGGGAAAACTTGCTTGATATATGAGCTGCTCTCTCATCTTTTTTAGCCTTTATAGTTTATACTTGTAATATCAGTTAGCTAGCGTGTCCAACCTTGTTTTCTACCGAGCAGGTCCTTAATTTTCAATGTTTTTTATACAAACGGCAGAAAGATTGTTTTGAGGGAGGTTTGAGAGGGCTAAATTATATTTTTGGAGCCTGGGTTGGAACTATGGGCACTTGTTATACATATCCCGATGGAATTAGGGGCAAAGCTAAGGGTACTCTGTACAAGCCAGCACAGGGCTAAACTTTGCAGACATTATTTTATATATTCTACGACATAAGATAGATTTGACGAGTCTTTACATTTTATTAAGTTGTGTTTCACTGTTTCTGAGGTGATGGTGTTTGGTACACACTTTTTCTCATTCGTGGGTTTAGAGTAGAACTAGAAAAGAAAAAGCGCAAGCAGTCCAAACTTAAGATTTTTGAGGCATGTTTGATTTTGTCGTTTTATTTGAAATGCGTTAGTGTGGAGGTTCGAATTTGCATGACTTACTAGAATTTATTATTTCATGGATCCTTGTTGAATTGTGGATTGATTTTATGCTGCAGGTTTCTTGCGCAGACTGGTTTGGTTTCTGTTGAACATCAAATCCGTGAGATGGGCTTAGCGCCAAATGATCAAAAGGAGAACAGAGAAGGCGTTGTGAAAAACGAGGAGAAATCCCTTTAAAAGGGCATCTTATACTTCATTCAAAGACAATTACAGTTGTGATACAATCATTTCGAGAGGCATGAGAAGACAACAACAAGGTTGTCAAAACAGCAAGCAGGTTGCTGAAGAGTTCTGCACTGTTTCACGAGCGATATCGACGAGAGGAGTTGCATCTTTCAGTCAGTCTTGGCCTCCTCCTCCTTGTGCTTGCTGCTTTTGGGCTTGATGAAGCAGAAACACGAGCAACACGGGAGCTGAAACAAGAACTTCATCTCTCTGATGGTGTTGGGATCACAATGTCTAGAGGTCGGTATATATACCGTCCTCCAGCATTGGCTTTCGTTTATTCCGATCAGGATGCCTTCCCTTTACTTTATGTTTTTATTCTTTTAAGATTAATAGATGCCTAGCGTTGCTTCTCCATTTGTGTCATCATTATCTTTGTGCAAGGAAAGGAATAGACTATGTGAGGCATAAAGGCAACGAATATGTAGTGGGATTTCACAGTCGGTTGATCTTTCTGGTGGCTTTCTTGGAGAAATTTATGTAGATTGCCACGTGGTGTTACAATTTTACGAGTTTTTACCATAAGATATCGATTTCCTTTCCTTTGTTTTAGAAAAAAAAAGGTTCACCGAGTTATTTTTCCAAGTGTTGAGCCCACAGAATAAGCCTACTCCGTGGGCTCAACAGGAAACGACCACTCTCATAATTGTGAGTAACTAAGTTTGGCACCACTGAACGCCTCTCAATGTTTGGTGGTGGAAGATGTCGATTTTATTGCTTTAGTTTTGGCATCGTGTTCCAGTCTTTTTATTTTATGATTCATTTAGCAACGGATTGGCTTAGGTTGGCAAAATTTGACCCTGAATAGGATGCAGCGCTGCCCCGACCAAAGGGAGAGTAGTGAGACCAGAGGAGTTTGGGGGCCTAGAAATTGGGGCGGGGAGGGGGTGGTGGTGGTTTGGGTGGGCACGGTTGGTTTCTTGGGTGTGGTGTCATATTGCTGACGGGGTCTAATGTTCGGACCCCAAATTTCTTTTTTTTGGTCTCACCGAACAAGTAATTTGGAGGGGCAATCAAAGTAACGGATCGCTAAGTGGCGCTACCATGTTAATGTCATGTTAAATTTCTTTTAGATGACGACTTACCTCAGTAGTGGAAGGAAATCATGCCCATATATCCTACTGCGGGATAGACTCCCCAACCCGGTTCCTATTCTCTTAAAAACTAACAATTTAACCCACTAACACCTCTACCGAAAAACAGTAGTCAAAGGTATTTAATCAATTTTAGAAATTTCTACAAAAACCATCATAAAATTTATTTTTAAGCAATTCGCCACATTTAACGACACGTTAATAATATGCAAGCTTAGGGGTATGAATCTTTCTCTAGCCGCATCTCTATACGAAGGTTTAATTATCAATTTCTTTAATCTCACCCGTTCATTTCACATTGAATGCAATGTAGTATCGGAGATTCTCCGGAAACATGATAAGCCTACACCAAGTTTAGAGACATCGAAAGCTTCATTGAAAACGAAAAAAAAAGGGGGCTCTTATAAGTTTACGACACAAGAGGCCTGCACTACAAGAATTTTGATGTAATAAAATCTACAATGCAGAATAAGTGCTTTTGCTCAGTTCTGTTCAATCACTTCCAAAGCTCTTCCATCGGGATACCACGCTCACGAGCGACATCACGGAACTGCCTCATTTTCTGTACTGCAACCACAGTGGCTCTAGCATTGTTGAGAGCATTCTTACTTCCAAGTTGCTTCCCAAGAGCATTTTCGACACCTGCCATTTCGAGAACTATTCTCACAGACCCTCCGGCAATAACTCCAGTACCAGGAGAAGCAGGCCTGAGCATCACCTTTGCTGCTCCGTAATCTCCCTCAGATCTGCGATTTATTAGAGTCAACAAAATAGGAGATGCAATATATAGAAGAATAGGAAGGCAATCGCTTATGTCCGATCGTCAATAACTGCATTCAATTTTGGGACCATGATAAGAATATAAACAGTCCCTATCAAAGAAAAGAATGAAACCTTTCGCTCCCTAACGTGTTCCATCAACAATCACACAAGGCTCATTATAGTTTGTTTCTCTCAACCGGAGAGAGCTTACTTATCTTGTTAAGACCAAAAAAAAGATGAGCGAAACCCTTTTGGGCTGAATCATATAATGCTTCTTCTCGGAACCACACAAACCAAACAATATATATTATCCTTGCTCTCAAAAACAATAGATCAACTTCTGTTTGAATTGAACAAAGTTATGCACATTTAATTCGGACTCGCCCAGTATAATGACAATATTGCTAGTAGTCTAAATTAACCTCACAATGAAACCTACTTCGATACTCGTGAAAATGAATTTCCAATTCCCGAATAATTAAAGATTACACTTAATCAAAAGTTTAATAGTGCAATGTCATATTTAACTAAACTTTTCAATTCTTATGAACCCATTTAAAATCGTGTATTGTTTGCACCAGAAGACCAATCTGTCAGATCGAATGAGAATCCACATAATTTCATTACATGGTTTACACCTTCTGGTGTCATTTATCAAATCACTTCCTAGGCTACACGTCAATGCTCTCAAGCACGAGACACTGTACGTGTATGGTCCTTCCCATATAACTGCAACAACCTACTGATTCACTGCTTATTGATAAATATGTACTTCATCCATCCCAAATTGTGCTTGTCAATATTAGAAGACACTTCCACAAGAAAATGTATGGTGAACAGACTACTTCAAGTGTAAATGACGCTTAAGTGACTCACCAAATATCAACCATAAGACTCGGAGAATACATACTACTTCAAGTTCAGCGAGCATGCAATGTGATCAAACCACATACACAACCAATTTCAACTCCCCATATTGTCTCAGACCTCAGACTCCAAGTTTAACCAATCACCATCCTGTCTCAAATATTTCTCACACTGATATGCAGTCTATACTCAATTCTAAGAATTTGCAGTTACATTCGATTTCAGTTCCTATGAATTCCTATATGCAGAACTTTCCACACCATCAAATGACCAAAAGTATCATTTTTCACACAATTCTGACACAATGTCATTGAAATAAACCCAACTGAAATGCAGAATTGACCACAAATACGCAGATAGCCAAATATAGCCCGAAATGCAATGACATTCAATTCCACATAAAATGCAGTATTTCCCACACAACCAAAAGATCAAACACAAACAATTCAAGCACAATTCAAACAAAAATAAATCGAAATGGCAATACCTGTGAGGAAAAGTCAGGTACTTGGTCATGGGCACACTGATAATGTTCCTTCTAGCATTCACCGCAGACTTCTGCACCGCCCCGATAACCTCCTTGGCCTTCCCGACGCCGACACCCACATTGCCCTGCTTGTCGCCAACCACCACAATCGCCCGAAAATGTAGCTGCTTCCCTCCTTTCACCACCTTCGTCACCCTCCTCACCTGCACCACCCTCTCCTCGAACCCATCTCTAATCTTCTCCTTCTTCAGCTTCCCAAAAGCCCCAAGCTTTTTCACCTTCGAGTCCATCACGTAAATGTCGTTCCCCAGCAAGGTCACGCCGCTGTACGCAGGGCCGTACAGCTCCTCGTACGCGGCGGCGATTTCGTCCTCGGTCTCGGTCGAATCCTCATCGAAGGAAGGCGGGGGGACGAAGTCTTCGGGGGCCTCCGGGGGCTCGAACACGCCGTCGAATTCGGGGTCCTCGTTGTCAAAGAAGGAGGTCTCGACGTCGGACGCGGCGGCATTGAAGATAACGGTGGTGGGTCGGGAAGAGGAGAGGAAGAGGGAAATGGGTTTTCTGGGTTTGGTTGCGGGGGTGGCTGCGGCGGTGAATGGGAGGAGGGAGAGGCGGGGATAGGGGTGGAGAGAGAGGGAAGAGAGAGTGGAGAGAGAGGAGGAGGTTGTGGACATGGCCATGGCGGGAGGAGAAGTGAGGGAGTGTGGGGTTTTTGGATCAGAGAGATTTATCCCCCGAAAGGCAGAAGCTTGAAGGATGGATGAGTCATCGCCTCATCGCCAAGACGATGATGATGTTGTGTACCCAGGAGGATTATGTGAGGATCCTGATCCTCCAATAACATCCATTCATCGTATATCGTATGGTCAGAAATTATTGTAAATTTTTTATTTAAAATTGAATATAAATAGTATTTAATAAAAACTGACCGCACAATGTACGATGAACGGATATAATTAAAGTATACCTGAAATCCTCACAAAAAGATTCAGCGAGAATCCTCACTCGATGTGTACTGTGCAATTGTCAGTCGAGGATTATACGGCTAGTCGTTTTTCCCTCATACGACTTGTCATTTGAGTGCGGATGGCCAAATCACTTGACATCTTACCATACACTCACTTTGTAGTATTTTGGACTGAGTAATGCTAAATAGACTAATTTTTTTGTCTTGATTTATTCAATTTAACTCCTTATGTCTGATGCGGTATGTGAGTGTACGAACACAAGAATCTCTTTGCGAAAAGGTCCATTTAAAGAGTCAACAGTCACCCACTATATGAGCATGTGGTCATCAATTGGAGTAATGGACGTAGTCACATTGATTTCAGCGAACAAGCTCCTACTTACACATGCGCATTTGAATTTTCGTCTCAATAATTTAGATTAGTTTAATGAAATTGTTATCGACACTTCAAAAATCTCATTGTACGCACTTCGCAAGTAAATTTTTCTTTATAAATATAAAAACTTTTGAATGTCAAATGAGATTTTTAAAGTGTTAATAGCAATTCTCATGTTCAAATTTTGGGAAGCAAGTAAAACTAATTCAAGAAAAATAAAGTATGAAAATACTTTAATTTGATTTCATTGAGAATATAATTGACATCAGAATATAAAAATTAATATCACATCGATAATTTGTTTTTCCTATATATCTTCTGAAGCACATGAAACACTCAGTTCTCTTGTCGTCCGCTGCGGCCCCGTTGTGATCGAAGAGGCGATAGTCACACGTACTTGTAGTGGTCGACTTCTGGGAGCGTCCCAAGGCCTTTGTAGCAGTCATCGAACTCAGGCTGATCATCATTTACCATCCTCACCATTGCTCTACTCTGTGAAGATGATGACGATGAAGGATCGATTCCTGCAGACAACGTGGACGGTGGTTTGGTAGATATCTCAATATGGCGATTAGCGATGTTGTTGGACAAAGTAGTAGCTTCCTCATGTTCCATATAGGCTGATGAAGAAGCAGAGGTCATAGACACAGCATCCGCGAAAACGTTAGCTTCTTGCTCTTGCTTAAGTTGTTCCATAAGTAGTTCTAGAGATAATTCGTCTTCTTCGTAGCCAGCTACATAGGTAAATGGTGAAGGGGAAGGTGAAGGTGAAGACAAGTTTGAGGCCACATAGGGGTTACTTCTATGGGTTTTAGCATCGGTGTTGGGAGTTTTGTTGTCGGTATTGTTGGCCTCGAGGCTAGTGTTCATGTTGGCAGTTTGGTCTGTATGGTTAGTCGTAGTATTACGCTGTTGAGAGGAGGAGGAGGGCTCAGCTACACGTGCTGGTCTTGGCACCTTTTCTACGTAGACGTACTGTTTCCTCGCATGGACGAAAAAAGCAGCTTAGTTAACATAACATCATATTAAGAGAAGCAAAACAGTCTAATTATGCACAAACTGAAATCTAGATCCAACAATGCATAATTTAATATGCAGAAAACAATGACAGTTCAAAATCTGTGTAAGATATGACTCTGTATTAATGGTCGTTCCGTTAACTCTAGATTTTCTCATTTGGGAATATTATTATTTTCAGGGGATTATGGCCCACTGAACTGAATTCTACACATAATCCAAGCCTAAAACTCCCGTTTCAGTCTTCCTGCCAACTAGTTAGTGCCGTTTCTAAACGCTCGGTTCAACGTGCAAAATACTCGTGCTACACCCGTGCTTTACAACGCATAATCTACTAGGCGCTCATCAATGGCCATCCTATCCTATCCATACATGCACCTTACCTTATTATGTACCTTCACGCTATCCTCCAGAGGACATCGTCATCATAACGGAAAAAGTTATTGTCACAAGGCATGCAGTTCAGACTCTTTAATTTGTATTCAACTTTCAAAATCCTACTTTAATTTGCAACAGATTCTGTATTAATTAAGGACGAAAAGAGGACTCACGATGTTCTTGCATTCATCCTCGTACAGATAAATGCAATCTCCCGCCTCCAGCCTTTTTTGCCTAACAAAAGCGCCTGTTACATTGAAAATATGGATACTCAGTAAACATGACATGTATTGTGTTTGTCAATGAACATTAAGAGCAATTCCATCGGTTTTTACTTTTTACCTGTATATTCGAACACATACATTCTGCTTCTGTTATTTGACCAGTACCTGTGTAAAATTAACCAAGCAGAAAAAAATGGCCTTAATTAATTGGCAGAAAACTCTTGCATAGATGGTTTGGCATTAAAATATAAAATTAATAGTATTGTCTATACGCTTACTTGTATTTGAACTCCCAATGCTGGTCGGAATGTACATCTCTGACAGTCAGCTGGATGCCTTCTTTGCCGGAGAGCATTGGAAGGTTATTTTCGGCTTCTTTCTGTGAACGAGGAGAAAACATAGAAAGAGTAAATGTTGGTGCAAAAACTTAGAAAGGAGGAAGGGATTTTTTACTAGGCAGTCTAAATCAGAAACATTTTGCAGCAGTCAATAAAAGAGAGAGAAATCAAAGTAAGAAGTTGGTTGATCCGCCTTTTTAGTTCTTCTCTTCCGTCATAGTTTCTCAGAAATGGAAAAACAAAAAGAAGTAAAAGGAACAGAAAGTACCGAAATAAACAAAGACCTCACCTTCGGTACTATAATCCTGCCCAAAGGTCCAACATCACTATTCTTCAACTCCTTGTTAAACAGCGGTCTCAGTTTCTGTAAATAAGAATACACGGAAATAATAGTTTAAAGAAAAACTCATTTGAAATTCAGATTTGAGAAGACAAAAGATCAACCCGTACCTTGTTATCCGGCGTGCAGAACGGGTAGAGCTGTTCTTTGGTGTTCTGCAAATCAGCACCATTACCAGATGATGACGTGGAAATGATTCCACATGTATCATCATCATGATTCCCATGAAATGGAGGATGCCTACTCACTGGGGGAGAACAAGAAACAGCAGTATTGGCTGCGTTTCTGCTCAAATTGAGACTCCTCTGTCTCGCCATCTTTCTCTCGTTTCTTGCAGACTTAGACATAAGGGCATTCAATATCCATCCGGATCGGTCTAGGCTGGCCTGTTCTCTGGATAGAACCATATTCGGTTGGGCGCCACCCAGGAATGGATACATGGGGAGACCGGCCTGATGGTACGGGTAATACCTGTACTGAGTGGCTGAAGGACTACAAGTAGTTGAAGGCAAACAGCTCATTGGTTCACAAGTGGAGGACTGCGAATTATTTGTCTGGTGAGTAGAGGTTACGGTCGTTGTAGAGGGGACAGAAGGTGGATGGAAGTTTTCCATTGTCTATGAACACAGAGCGTTTGTTGATAGCGATGATCTTCAGAGAGGTAGGGGCTGGTTATATGTTTGTGTGGGTGAGGGTGGGGTTGTATAAGCTGCAGGCCGTGGTCTAGTTGGTAAACTTGTGATGCTGCCAGTGGAGAGAGCACAGGTGTGGCCAAAGCGAGAAGAACACGTAAGGGGGTGCAGATGAGTGGGGTAAGGATCGTGAGGGAACGAAAAGAGGATAAAAGAAATTAAAGAAAAGGCTGAGGAGGAATGCCAGAGAGTGAGGAAATTGGGTTGAAAGAAAGAGAGAGTACATTGGCAGTGTTGTGGAAAGTTTGACGAGGTGAGGATCAGATGACAAGTGGCCGGAGGGTGGTGGTTTAGGAATAGCCATCTGACCAGTGTGTAAAAAGAGAACAGAATCAGAGAATGGAAGAGAGAAGGGAGAGTTAGAGAGGACGCAGAAGAGAGTGACATATTCTGGCGCCTCTTTTAGTTCAAATCTGGCAGACTAGGGCTACGACTGTATGGACATATGTGGAGCCATACTTCTCCATCTTTTTCTCGCACAGAACGCCATGGAAAACCAGGGCTACCACATACAGTCATTGCCTTCTGCCAAACCACATTTCCTCGCTCGTTTGCCTCTCTTACTCTCAAGACTCACACCCTGTCTCTCTCTAAAGCCAGCATCCCAAGAGCAACTGGTGGAGGTGGATTGGCCTGTCAGTGTTAGCTTATGAACGTTATAAAAGGAAGAAGTAAAGGGACTGCTATCTCCAGGGATGATTTCCTCTCTTTGCAACCGAACCCCACAGCGAGTAGTACGACAAGTACCACAAACGCCATATGAGACAGACTGAAGCCCAACATTGCAAATTAAGGCCTCCCCTGAAATAGCAAACCCAGAAGGTCCCCTCTTAAGTTGTTGTATTTAAACTTTTATATTAAGATTTTTTTAGTTAGAGGGTTAGAGCTCGTAATGTTAGGGATGTGAGTAAACGATTGTTATAATGTTGGGAATGTGAGTAAAGGGGGTAGCACAACCTGATGAGCTCAATGGAACTTGTGTTTTCATTTTCGTCGTCCACTGAACCACTTCAACTTCACGGTTGGATTCCATGTCCTGCTTGCTTGTCATTTCTTCAATCACAAGGCGAGAATCAAAGCTGCTTTTGAGTCCATCCTACATCAAAGAATAAAAAATAAAAAAAATCTCCTTAGCAATTTCGTGGTTGCATAAACATAATCTGTTCGACAACAGAAAACTATTGAATATATAGTGCCTTGCTTTATTATTTTTCTTCTCTATTCCCATGCGTTTGCCATCTGTATCCACTAACGAAGCTACTATCTTTGCTTTTGGACAAAATTAGAAGCGAATTAAACTTAAGATTTTGCTATTTCATGAGCTTCCTTTTTAGAGTACGATTTTGATATACTCCGACTCCCTCCATAAGGTAATAGAAAGGAAACTTTAAACAGGATCACTGACAAAATTTAAGCATAGAAGGTAATCCAAACAGCGCATAAGCAAGCTGGAGATCCTAACAGAGGCCTGCTAACTTAAGCCGTTTATACAAATTCACACATGGTACCTGCTGAAAAAAAAATTCATGTATATATCATATATCATATCAAAGCTGCAAATTAGAAACCGTATCATAAAAAAGCCATATGAATGCTGTATTGCTGCCTAGTACTTACAGAGTTGGCCACAGAATAACTGTGGTAATCACATTGACTAGGAAACTCCATGACAACAATTTGCTCGTATATTCATCACCAGGATAGTGAAAACTTCAACTGCTTCTACAAGAAAGAAGCTTTAGCAGATTTATGGCAATGACGGGGAAGAAAAAACTTGAATACTGAATTGTGATGAGACCGTAGGATAACTGGGATTTTTATAGAGGTAATAAAGAGGCTCGACAAAAATGCATGCAAACCAAACATGCTTAGGTGATTACACCTGCCGCAGATGGTTGTATAGATGTTGATCATGCAGAAAAATGCTCGACTTGTGGAACGTGGATGCATAGAGATTCAACAAGCTGCATGCAAACCAACACCTGCCCTAGACAGTTTTATAGATGTTATCATGTTGATCACGGAGAAAAACGCTCAACCTATTCAACGCGGATTCATATCCAGGTGAGAAAGTAATTTGAGAAGTTGCATGCAAGCCAACACCTGCCCCAGGCGGTTACATAGATGTCGATCACGGAGAAAAACGCTTAACCTGTTCAACGTGGAAAGAACTGATGGTCGAAAAGACAGATTGGTAAGTAAATCAGTTTAACATGGGAAATGATAAATACACACAATTTTTCTCCTCCTACAACCCCTGTTTATTCTTGTCCATTGTTTCCGTTTGATTTATCTAAGGCCAGTAATAAAGAAGGGTGTGAGAGATGCTAAAAAGGGTGTGAACAGCTCCGTTATCATTTATGTCTGTTCCTCTTAATTTATTTCAAGTAAGTGAATTGACAGGAAGGATATCATTAGGTTTTAGACTATCTGTTAGAGATTAGTTCTTATAAGGTATGAACAAAGTGAGGTTTAATTCCTTTTAGGGAGGAGGAACAATAAAGAAGGATTCAATATTTTGCTAATCATGATGTAATTTTCGGACAAAATTCTTATACAATGCTATATCTTGTTTGCTATAGATCTTGAATTCAAGCACAACACAGTATTCAACAATAATACATTAAATCTTCAAAAGACAGAAATCTAGACCAACATGACAATTTTGTAAAAATCTCCAGGGACAATAGGATAGGAAACGCCAGAGAAGCAAATGGGGTCATATTGAGAGATCTAACCCATTACAAGACTACCTATAATTCATCCTCCTGCAAATAGATACTATGTAGTCCTACCACATTCAGTGGACAAATACTGTTAACGCAACCACGACAAAGTATTAGCTATCACCAATTCTATAGAAAGTCTGGAAATATATGTAGAACATATTCCTTAAATTTGAAGAAAATGATAAAGGCCAAGAGCAGGTGCATAAATGACGTGATTTATAGAATTTTGGAGCAATGAAGCTTTTGTTGGTTAATTTTCTCAGAAGACGGTCCCAAAAGTATAATGCTAGAAATGTTTACGCACACAACTATACGAGAACCTAAATATATCATTAGCAGTCAATCCAATTTGAGCAACTGAAAACATAAACATTAAATATTCTTGTTGGAACTTTCAAATTTAAAAATTTAATTCAAACACATGGGCAAGGGAATCCTTCACAGATAGATATGTAGATATGATACTCGCAGGAGATTACATGAAAGCTAAGCAAAATCAATGTGGAACTAATGAACATATAAATGAGTCAGGGTAAGCACCAAACCAAATTATCATGAACAAAGAATACGAACAATTTGAATGGCCGAAGATGGCTTCTCCTCCTAGATACCTGTATTGCTTGTATCTGCAACTGCAATGCATGCATAACATCCAGCCACATTTACTTGTTTCACAGAATTTCAATTGTTCTTTTTAATGATAGTACAATTAGAACTAAGCATTATTGCTCTTCAAGTGTCCTATAAATACTCGAATTTATAGTCCCTCGCACGAGCAGCCTGTATTCATACTTTTGTTTCAGTAATGCAACATTAACAAAAGATACTTGTTTGTCAAATTACATGACAATGCTCTACTTAACTTTATAATGTAACCCTGGTTTACCAAAACTAATAGTAAGTTTAAACCGTTGGCTGCAAGCAACCAAAAATATGACTTTTCCATTGAAAAGTGCAGAATGATTTTTTTGGAGTGCAAATAACAGCTCCTGCCAATGATTTATCTTAAGAAATCTAATGTATTGAAGCTTCAAAGCCACATAGATTTGCACATACAAACCTAAACATGGAAGAGAGACACCAATTAACAACAAACCTCAAAGAGTATAAGCTTCCAGAACCAAATCAACCAAATGAAGCTACTTTTATTTGAATACGAACTTGTTAATTGAGAGGGATATGTGAGTAAAAGCAAGCAAAGAGAAGAACTTTTGTCAGTACCTGAAGATGGTGGACTTCCGAAACTAGCCTCGGAGGCAGTCGTACCGGAGCTCCGGAGGAATGTGCCCCGATTGGCATTTTTGCCTGACTGAAACCGTCGGAGCAGCAAAATCCCTCCACCATTTATTACCATTCTTGCTCTGATACAGTGAATAAAATTGGGTAGTGAATTTATTTATGATTATTTCCGAACTGTTCTAATCTGCAACTCCAAAGCTGTATTCTTTTTTCAACTGTTTTTACTTTTACTGTTTTCAATTTTACCGCGTTATTATGGTATTTCATTCGGTTAATCATCCGCTGAAATGCTCACTCCATTTGTTTTCCACCGAACTCACGGATCAAGGATAACTTTTAAAAGTTGTCTATGTTTTCAGCCGTTAAATCAAATTTAAAAGACCGGATCATAAAAGATCGGATCATTTGATCCGTGAGCTTTGGTGAAAGAGATTGAGATGATATCTTTCCTTATTTTACCACTAGCATATGGGCACACACAAAGTATGTGAATTTTTTTTTTTTTTTTTTTTTTGAAATAGAAGAGAGGAAGAGAATGATAGAGGATGTGGGAGTGGAAAGTTCTTTATTTATTTATTTTTTAATTAGAGATATATTAGAATTACATATAATGAGGTTTTGAAAAAAAATAGTAAAATTTAGTTGTATGAAATTACATTTCAACCTTATATTTCTTATTTATATTCTGTTTTAATTAGAGAATTAAACTGGTAATTTCATAGTTAATTAGTAGAGATTCCGCGACGGATTGAACTGCAGCTCCCCCTAATTGACAGTCACACGTGTCAAGCCACAAAGCTGCCACCTACTCTCCTTAATCTCATTATAACATGCAAACCCTAGTAAGCGGTGATAGGATATCTGGGACCAAATTTAGTAGAGAACGAAAGAAAAACAGAGGAAGCGAACATGGTAGTATTTTCCATAGAAAAAAATGTTATGTTCAACCTCTCCAGATCTTTTCCTCCATCCTCTCAGTCACTCTCTCTTCGACATTCATCTCCGAAAGTCTCCCGCGTCTGCTTCGCCTCCAAATTCTCTGAGGTAACATTTACAGACGCGAATTAGGCTAGTTAGTCAGGACATGTGCTCTCCGGTCGAATCCTCATTGTCAAAAATGTATTGATCAAATTTGTTCTGAATTAATTTCAGGGTAAACATGCGGCGGAAGAGAACAGATATGACTAACAAGAACTGGATAAATAAGGACCGAGAGTACGGGTCGGCGCATGTGAGCAGCCATGCTAAAAAAACCATGGAAGAAGGATTAGAAAAGAGCAAGCGAAAAGCAGAGAAAATGAAAAAGACAACCAAGGAGTACGAGCCGGAAGCAAAGCAGAACGCGAAAAGCGCAGCCCAGCAATGGCGGAGAAAGCGAAACAGGGAACGAACAGACCAGCGGAGACGGCGGAGAGCGCCAAGGAAAAGGCAAAAGAGTACACTTCCGAGACGAAGGAGAAGACCAAAGAAATGGCAGATACTGCGGCCGATAAGGCAAAGGAAGGGACTTATAAAGCAGCCGAGACTGCGGAGAGCGTGAAGGACGAAGCGAAAGAGAGTATGTGGGGTATGAAGGAGAAAACAGAGGATGTGGCCGGGACGGTGGCGGAGAAGGTGAAGGAGGGGACGAGCAAGGTTGCGGAGACGGCGAAGGACACGGTGAAGGGGACGTGGGGGCGGTGAAGGAGACCTGGCAGAAGATTAAGGAGACGGTGGTTGGAGCTCCTGAATGAGTAAGTGGGAGTGGCGGTCATTGATGATGACGTTAATAGTGAGAGTGATGTGGAAGTTGGTGTTGATGTGGACGGCGATGGCGTGGCGGAAGGGAAGGTGATGGAAGCTGATATGGTGGAACTAAGGCCGCGTGCCGGCAGGGACGTGAGAAGAAATAATGAGATTTTTTTTACTTTTTAGTTTAATTTGCAGCTCTTTTGATTAATTTTTTTTTTTGTTTTTATGTTTTTTTTCAAAATGTGCATTCTAATAAACATACTTTACTTTTGTGGTTATTTTAGAAAATTCAAAATTCGGTGCAATATGATCAACAAATTAACTTCCACAATCATTTGTCGCATAATATTGCTATCCACAGTTTGAATTAGTCACCCAAAACTTTATATTGCGTTATAATTTAACAATTATGCAACTTAAATCTACTTTTTTGTCAAATAATGACACGTAACAAGAAATAACATTTTTAAGAACGTTTTTGTCATTTGGGTCATCTAATTAGGCACTATATTTTTCTTTGATGGTAGAGAAAAATGAAATACGAAAGGTGAAGCGCCTAGGAGTGGACATGGTCTCCACATAGATGATCGGGTGAAATTATTCAAAGGGATCATACCAATTCATGAGAATATGATATGTGCAAGGATAGATGAATAGGCACAATTGTTATGAATATGTTTTTAGTCTAGTGTCACCCAAAGGAGGTGACAAATATCATGCTATTTTTATGAGCTATATCTAAAATATGCACAACTCTCTCGAGATAATTGGTGGATGCGGTGGAAAGACCAACTGACACAATGATTTTTTGAAATGGTTGGTTCTTGACGACTTGCTCTTGCTTGAATCGATCCTCGGTGGCAGAGAATGGGCTGCCAGAATTGGAATTTCTTCCTCCAACGTTCTGCGTTTTTTGCTACGTACAAAGCCAGTGTTACTGTTGATAGATGGGCATTTTGAGGTGCCGCGAAGACCCAAAAAATATAGAGGTTATTTATCAAATAGTTTGGGATATTGGTGAGAACTAAATCTTCCTGCTCTCATCCTGTCAGCTCGCCATATTCAATAGAGAAATTCATCCTCCTCCCTAGACTTCAATCCGATGATTCAGATTGTTAGTTCCTCCTTAGCCGTCATGCATGACTCGGTGATGGCTCACAAAATCTAACTCCTCCAAACTCACAACCTCTAATTCATCAACAATCACCAATTTCGATATGGCACACCTTACTCCCATCATCTTGGTGTCAGAGATCTCGAGATCTTCGCCGGCCTTGAGATCCATTCCGAGCATAAGGGAAAGAGGCTTGAAATGATACTTGGAATGCGCTCATCGGGTTACCATCTTAATTGTGTTGGACTTCTTTTCAACATCTGCAATTGTGCTGGTCCGATCAACTGGTTGTCAACTAACTCTCGGAAAAAAACGATGACATGTCCAATGTAAAAACCAACTATTGTGATTCAAACCTTCGGCGTGCACATACCAATATGTGATTCAAAGATTCGACAACTTTTATTGAAAAATACTTTGATAGTTCTGCTATTATAGGGTTAAGGGGGTTAAAAACGATTATCAATGCTTGTTGAGAGTGATGGTGCACATGAATGTTCTCATGTATTGAGAAAACAGATCATTTTTATGAACAAAGAGTTCTTAGTTCAAGTTGTTGATGAGCTTTTAAAGATCTATAGGAAACATTGTTGATTTATTGAATGAGATTTTGATGCATATGCAAAAATACTCCAACAAAATTATAGCGCATAAATTATTACTGTATTGTCAACATAAAGCGCGTTTAGTAAGGCTAATGAGAATAAAAAACGAAATTAAATTCTGATTACGGATTACTTTGGTGTTAACTAAATATTGGGGAATCAATAGTGTGGTGGACCCCACCCGAAACAAGGAATGCAATTCCTCAAATTGGAGGAGTGGGATTCCCTGGATAGGTGAGGTATTTGAATTCTAGGAGTTTGAGGGAATTAGGAACGCATTTTTTCTTCATATTATGCCCTCATTCACATTATGCACAACTTTATACTCATTCACATTATGCACAACTCCATGCATATGCCAAAAAGAAGAAACTACAATTTGAGCGAGAAAATTTGAATATTAAAGTAAATACTTAAATTTATAAAAAAAAATAATAATAAACAAAAGCATTTTGGTGTCTATGAAATAAAAAAGCAATTTAATTTTTTTTCTTACTATTATATATTATATTAAATTTTATTAAAAAAAGTATATAAATATTTGATTTGGGACAAGGGCATTTTAGTAATCATACTGATTTATATTCCGATTCTACTGAATTAGTAAACAGCTTTATGGAATTAGTGTAATTTCTATTCCGATTCCAGAATATTTAAGTAAACAGCTTCAACAGGAATCTGATTTCGACTTCTCCTCATTCCAACTCATTCTCAATTCAATTCCTCATATTTTTTATTACGGTTACGTAAACACTCCAATAGAATTATGATGGAAATTACCCGTTAAACAACGACTTTATATTTAAACATAATTTACAAAATGTAATTTCCGTAATATTTTTCTTTCAATTTCAACTTTGCGCAAGTAAATAGCAGCCTTTTTTTTATCCTTTTAATGTCTAAAATTTTAAAAATAGAAGTTGCAGTAACTTATGATATGACTAATAATCCACATACTATTTCGGGACCGGAATTTGGAGACTAATCTCAAACCAAATTTTCGGGAATCCCAAATTTCGGGAATCCCGAAATATTTTCAGGATTTTAGGACAAATTGGGAATCCCAAATTGAAATATGAAATTATGAATTGTTGTTCAAATATATAATTCAAGAACACATTATTTCGGGACAAATTGGGAATCCCAAATTAAAATATGAAATTATGAATTGTTGTTCAAATATATAATTCAAGAACACATTCGTGAACTAGGAATGTCATTTCATTCACACTACCATTTAATCTAAAATTGGCATGCCTGACTATTTTTATTAGAGTCAAAATTCAAATTAATTAAACCCTTTTTGCAATATGTTGAGACTTGAGAGACAAAAGAATCAAGCCTTCTGAAATCATTAGTCATGGCAGCAACAATAATAAAATCCAAATGAATATCAAACAGAACATGAAAAATATGTAAGGCGTATGGCATTCTAGGTTGCAGAGCATGAATTAGAAACTACTAGCATCAATTATAAAAGAATAATACATATAATATATATGTATATATATGTATATATATATAATTAATATTATATATTTTCGGTTCAGTATGGGATTTCCGAAATATCGAGAAGCCAATCCCAAATCCCGTACCGAAATTTCGATTTGGGAAATTTTTGATTTGGGATCGGGATTTTTTCGGTTCGGTTCGGGATTTTTGAGATTTTTTTCCACCCCATGCAACCCCAGGAAGCGGTGGTATAATATGATTTCATAAACAGAAAACAAAATCTAAACAGAGAAAGAACAGAAACAGAGAACAAAGAAAGCAGCCAAGATGGTAGTAATTTCCATGGCAAAAAATGTCATCTTCAACTTCTCCAAGCCTTTTCCTCAAACCCCTTCATCAGTCTCGCTTAGAAATTCATCTCACAAATTCTTGAGAGTCTGATTCGCCTCCGCCTCCAAATTCTCCGAGGTAATTACTCAATTTAAGTACGTGATTAACAGTAATACTTGTCGAAGAATATAAGAATCCGAATCGAAAAAATTGACAACATAAAATGCAAACATAATGAATGGTTGCATCCCTGTTTTCACAGAGTGTATGCAAGTTAGGGATAATATCGGTGCACTTAGTATAGATCATTGGTCCGTCTCTTTAAAATTTTCTTGACAAGTCCATAAAATTTTTGGGTTCTTTAGATTTAAATCCTTACAACTCTTAAACTCTAGACAAAAACCCACATATATTATAACTTCTAAATAAAACCCAAATTTTAAATATGATGTCATGTTGGATAAAAGATGTCCATGAATTTGTGTTTATTTACAAAATCATGCCACCAAATCTCTTATACGTTTCTTTTAGACATTTAATTTGTTTAATATATTTTTAATTTTGTGTGAACTCCTCCAATCCAAAACCTAATTAGATCAAATATATACGGACATATATTCTACATTTATGTATACTAATACCACGATAAGAAGTAGGTAAATTAATTTTGTTACAAATTTAAAAAGTAGGCACATTAATTTTCATGTAATTATACAATAGGTAAATTATTTTCATAAAATTAAACAATAGATATTGTTTTCAAAAAATTAATTTTCATAGTAGGTAAACTATTTTCATGTAATTATATTGTAGGTATAAAATTAAACAATAGATATTGTTTTCATAAAATTAATTTTCATAGTAGGCGATTATTTTCATAAAATTAAACAATAGATATTGTTGAAAATAAACACTAAATTAGGTATATTCAAATTGAAATTTATTGTCAAAACTAAAAAAATTTCCAAATTAATTCCTCCATCTAGAACCATATTTCATGGCTACAAGACCTCGCCAAATTCAATGCACGTGATCAATTAAAACAAAATTACAAGAACTTTCCATACTTGCTTAGATGGGGTATATTAGGGATCCAAAAATTATAAAAACAGACACACAAACTTAATTTGGTAAGTTGCTTAGTTTAATCCTAATCATTGGGTTTTATTCGGATAAATATTATATGATGGGCTAGAGGCTAGAAAGAATGAGTTTGGAGGGGGAAAGTTAAATTTTCAGAAAATTTTTCGTTATGGATTTCGAAATTTAATTTGATCCAGTACATGTTTGAAATTCAGGGTCGAAATGTACCGAAAGGGAATAGAGATTCGAGGTCTGACTGGGAATTTTATGACAAGAAGCGGAGGAATGAGGATGTGAATTACAGAGGAAAGGATCCAGCAGATGAACTCGAGGATTACGCACATGAAAGGAAGGAGAAGACGAAGAGTCCAGAGGAGAAAGCAAAACAGTACGGTTACGAAACAAAGGAGAAAACCAGAGACATGGACGACACTGTAGCTGATAAGGCAAAAGAGGGTACTCGTAAGGCGGGGAAGACGGCGGAGCATGCAAAGGAGAAGACGAAAGAAAATGTTCAGGGGATGAAGGAGAAGACCAAGAACATGGCGGAGACTGCAGCAGAGAAGGCAAAAGAGGGGAATCATAAGGCCGCGGAGACAGCAGAGCATGCGAAGGAGAAGACAAAAGAGAATGTTTGGAGTATGAAGGAGAAAACAGAGGACGTGGCGGAAACGGTTGCAGATTGTAGATTTTTATGTTCAAAAATATATGTATTTCATGTGTTGTAAGAGTTAAAAACTAACTCATATATATGAGTAGTAAAGAACCGGTTACAAACCCATCCCTATACAAAACTCTTGGGACAACACAAAGATAAAAAACTGAGAGGACTTATAATACTAACAGCTCCATAACCTTCTCCATGCTGCCCGTGCTTGTCTTTGTCGAAGACCACACATGATGTGAAGATAGAAAGCTGACAGGACAAGAATATATGTTGCCCGTGCTGCATGTGCTTGAGTTTATTGTACAATATTCAAGAGTTGCTGCCCGTGCTTGTCTTTGTCGAAGACCACACATGATGTGGAGATAAAAAGCTGACAGAACAAGAATATATGCTGCCCGTGCTGCATGTGCTTGAGTTTATTATACAATATTCAATGTCCATACTTCTTGGTTCCAACACCCCCCCTCAAGCTGGATCAAGGGGATTTATTGAGCCAAGCTTGCCCAGAAGACGATGAAACTGAGCAGATGGTAGTGCTTTGGTGAATAAGTCAGCCAATTGATCATAACTGCGAGTGAACACAGTGTGAATGACCTGAGATTGAACCTGAGATCGAACAAAATGACAATCCACCTCTATATGCTTCGTTCTTTCATGAAAGACAGGATTAGCAGCAATGTGCATGGCTGCTTGATTGTCACACATAAGTGGTATGGAGTTGGAACAATGAAACCCTAGATCAGATAGAAGACCTTTGAGCCAAATAAGCTCACATGCAGTGGCTGCCATTGCACGATACTCAGCTTCTGCACTAGACCGAGCAATGACCTGTTGCTTCTTGCTTTTCCAAGTTACAATATTGCCTTCAACAAACGTGCAATAGCCTGTCGTGGACCTTCTATCAATGGCATTGCCTGCCCAATCAGCATCAGTGTAACCACTTATGCTTGTGGATTGGTTATTTTGCATGAGAATTCCCCGTCCAATGGACCCTTTAAGATAACGAAGGATCCGTTTGACAATGTTGAGATGATCAACGGTGGGAGAATGCATAAATTGACTAACTATGCCCACTGCATAGGTGATATCAGGACGAGTAATGGTGAGGTAAATTAACTTACCAACCAGTCTTTGATAATAACTCACATTATGAAGAGCTTCCCCATACATAGTAAGCTTGAGCTTGCTGTCAATTGGAGAGGTTGCAGGTTTGCAATCAAGAAGATTTGTCTCCTTGAGAGAAGATCAGTTACATATTTTCTTTGATTTAGGAATAGTCCTTTGGATGAGGTAGCCATTTATATGCCAAGAAAATACTTAAGCCTCCCAAGGTCTTTGATGGCAAAGGTCTCTTGTAGAGATTGCTTTAAGGCTGCAATCTCAGTTTCACTTTCACCTGTGATTATGAGATCATCCACATAGATAAGAATCATCAATCTTCCTCTCATTCCTGTTCGAACAAATAGAGATGAATCTGCATTGCTTCTAAGAAAACCAGCCCTTTCCAACACTGAGCTGAGCTTGGCGTACCAAGCTCTTGGAGATTGCTTTAAACCGTAAATAGCCTTGTGAAGTTTGCAGACCATACCATTTTGGGCTTGAATATAACCTGGTGGAGGTTGCATGTACACTTCCTCTTGTAATTCTCCATGTAGAAATGCATTTTTTACATCCATTTGATATAAGGACCAACCAGAATTAACTGCCACAGACAAGAGAACTCTGACAGTGTTCATCTTGGCTACTGGTGCAAAGGTTTCTTTGTAATCCACTCCAAAAGTTTGAGTGAATCCACGTGCAACGAGTCTGGCTTTGTGCCTTTCAATTGAGCCGTCAGCTTTGAATTTTACCTTGAAGATCCACCTGCTGCCAACAACCTTTTTTCCAGGTGGTAAATGAACAAGACTCCAGGTTTTGTTGTCACTCAAGGCTTGATTCCTCTGACATTGCCTTCCTCCACTTAGATGATTGGTTTGCCTCCTGAAAGGTGCTAGGTTCAACATTATTTGCAACTTCAGTGAGAAATGCAGTGTGAGACTTTGAGAAACAGTTGTAATTGAGAGTTTTAGTGTGAGGATGCCGTGAGGCATAAGTAACATAGTCCATCATCTTAGCTGGTGGCTGTCTTGTTCGAATGGGATATCTCCTAGCTTCTAGAAGTGGTGTTGTTGGTAGAGAGGGGCTTGGGCCTGTCTGAACTTCACCTGTATGCTCACTGATGGATTGAGAGTGTAGTTGGCCCACACTTGGAATCAAGTCATCTTGAACTCCTTCAATGATTTGACCATTTGAGATGTGATCTTCTGCTAGTGTATCATGGTCAGTGACTCTTGGTAAGGGAAGCAAATCACTCAAGGTCTCATTCTCATTAATATGAGTCTCATTGCTTTTATAGTAGAGCATTGTTTCATCAAAACGAACATCCCTTGACACAATACATTTCTTTGTGATAGGGTCAACACATTTGTATCCCTTCTGAGTTGGTGAGTACCCAACAAAAATGCATTTCACTGCTCTAGCTTCCAATTTATCACGATGAGGTGCTTGCACATGGACAAAGCAGCTGCAACCAAACGTTTTAAGATGCGCCAAGTTGACTGCCTTATTGTTTAGAGTTTCATGTGGAGTTTTGAACCCCAATACTTTACTTGGAAGTCTATTAATTATATAGGTAGCAGTGAGAACAGCATGTGACCAATATCTTTTGGGAACATTCATATGCAGCATTAGAGATCGAGTTTTTTCAAGCAGATCTCTATTCTTCCTTTCTGAGACCCCATTTTGTTGGGGTGTCCCTACACAACTGGTTTGGTGAACAATCCCTTGTGAACTCAAGTACTGAATCATGTTATTGGACAGAAACTCAGTGCCATTATCTGACCTAAGCACCTTAATGTTTGAGTTGTATTGAGTTTGTACAAGTTTATGGAAATCTTTAAATATGCAGAAAACCTCACTTTTTGATTTCATAAGGTATAGAAAGGTAGTACGAGTGAAATCATCAACAAATATGACAAAATATTTGTAACCATCCATTGATTCAATTGTAGGTCCCCAAACATCCGTGTGTACTAACTCGAATGGTTTACATGTCTTAAAAACAGAAGTGACAAAAGGTAGTCTGACTGACTTTGAAAAATGACATGTTTCACACTCAAGGGGTGATTGACAAAAACCGGGAAACAATTTTGACAAAACAAGTTCAGATGGGTGAGCAAGTCTTTGGTGCCAAAGTTGTTGATGTTCAAAATACTTGGTTCCAGCTTGAAACGCTTTAGGCATGACTGAGTTTTTGCACAAGTAGTAGAGACCATTAAGGAAGAACCCTTCACCAATCACTTTCTTGGTGATGACATCCTGAAAAACGACGTTGTTTGGTGAGAAAATGGCATGGCAGTTTAGGGAGCTTGTTATCTTTCCTACTGAAAGTAATTGAAAAGGAAATGAGGGAACATATAGGGATAATGACTCATTATTGTTTGTGAGTATACTAGCTTTTCCCTTACCCAAAACTGACACATTTTTTCCATATGCAACTGACACTAGTGAGGGGTTTTTGAATGCTTGAAAATTATGCAGATTTGAAAGTTTGTTTGTCATGTGATCAGTGGCACCTGAGTCAATTATCCAACAATCATATTCAGTGCTTGTTTGTAATGCAGTGGAGAAAGCATTGAGAATACCTGAAACCTCTCCTTGTTCTGCAGATTTGTTATTGGCAAGAAATCCTGCAAACTGCCCCAGCATGGCAGCGTGTTCTCCATCCTCCTTTTGTAAGTTTGATGCAGTATTCCCATGATCCTTGGTTTGCAAGTACGCAACAAATTCTTTTATAAGTGTCACATGACTTGTAGTGAAGTCCATGGATCCAAAAGAAACCCCAGAGGTGACGTTTGCTGCATGATGACTCTTGAAATGGCTTGTTTGTGAAGGTTTTGATGGAATCATCTTCCCATCTTTGGTAAATTTGGGCTTTAACTCGGGATGAAGGATCCAACACTTTTCTTCCACGTGACCAACACCATTACAGTAGGTACACTTGAGATGGGAATTCTTACCTTTGTATATTTTGTGGTTTGCAACATAGGCTAGAGCTTCAGTTGGCCTTGAGCTAGACTCACCATTCATGGCTTTCTTCCTAGCTTCTTCACGTTGGACAATACCACACACACTTTTGAATGTTGGCAGTTCTTGACTCATAAGTATATGGCTTCTGAGATCCTCGTACTCAGAACTTAAGCTTCCCAAGAGTTGGTATATCTTATCTTCCTCCCCTCTCTTTAGTAGCGTATTTGCATCTGTGGTGTGTGGAAGATACATATCCAGTTCATTCCACATGGTTTTGAGCCTGCCAAGGTGTTGTACAAAGGACTTCCCATTTTGTTGAATGCATGCAATGTCTTTCTTCAGTTGGAACACCCTTGCATAATTGTTTTGATTTCCATACATGTCCTTCACCGAGTTCCACAAATCTTGTGAGGACTCTGAGTAGCTAAAAATTTCTGCAACATGCTTCTCCATAGTATTGAGAAGTAAGGACATGACGAATTGATCTTTGCAGAGCCAAGTCTCATAGGTTGGTGAGGTGATATCAGGAGCTTCGATGCTTCCATTTATAAAACCAATTTTTCCTTTTCCTCCTAGAGCAAGTGAAACTGCACAAGACCAAGGTAGGTAGTTGAACTCATTCAGCAAGGCTGAACACAAACGCTGATTGGTGTTAACCTCAGTGTCTGAAAAATTTGAACAAGAATTACGGGAGGTTTTATCCTCAACATTTACTGAATCTTCTTCAGCCATGGCTCAAGGTTGAAGGAGAGAAGCAGCGGAAAGAAATGGCCAGAGACAGGTTAAAGAAGGACCCGCTCTGATACCATGTAGATTTTTATGTTCAAAAATATATGTATTTCATGTGTTGTAAGAGTTAACAACTAACTCATATATATGAGTAGTAAAGAACCGGTTACAAACCCATCCCTATACAAAACTCTTGGGACAACACAAAGATAAAAAACTGAGAGGACTTATAATACTAACAGCTCCATAACCTTTTCCATGCTG